TAACAACAAATTAGGGAGGACATGTTTTGAATTATAGATCACTTGGGCCTCGTTCGTTTCGCTGATTTGAGTTTAGAATTTGAGTTTTGCAACAGTAAAAAGCTCTCACAAACAGTCACATTTAACTTTTTTGCTACAGTAAAAAGTTTTCACATAAAATCACATCTCAACTCAGATTCTAAACTCGAATCAACGAAACGAACGCGGCCTTGATCTATTCCATATTAGTTTACAATTTCTCTTAAAAGTTGAAGGTAATTGGAAGTAGCCTAGATTTGGGTACCCTGACCTACTACTACTCACGTGGGCATATCACGTTCACACGTGAGTTGCTCTATAAATACATCTTCGAATGTTGGTCAATGGATAAGTCATCTTGATCAACGGTCAATATCCAAAAAAGTTTTTTACACCAATGTCATACCTTTGAATGGTTAAAATGCCACGTTTTGTAACATTAAGGCTCCGTTTGGTATGAAGATTTAAAACATGGTGATTCTAGTTTTTATTTTGCAACCAGAACCATGATTCATAATTTTAAGTTTAAATTGTAGTTCTGAAACCAGAATCAGAGGTTTGAACCACCCAAAACTAAGGGAGGGGGTGATTTTAGAACTATGGGTGATTCTAGTTTACAACATCACATCATGGTTAAAACCTTCAACCAGAACCATCCAAACTAAACACTGATTTTATTGAGTCAAACCAGAACCACTTTTCACTTTTTGTAAACAAATACTGATTTGAACAAGAATTATGATTCCGGTTCTAGAATCTTAATCCTAAACGTCTCCTAAGTAGTTGTGGATAGAACATAGATTCTTATATAGTCGGAACATGTGTCGTCTTTTAGTTTTTTGGCTGAAAAAAAAAAGAATGTTATCTTGTTTGATGATATAGAAACGGTCATCTCTCCAGGCCCGCCCGAACATAGATTCTTATATAGTCGGAACATGTGTCATCTTAATCCTAAACGTCTCCTAATTATGATTCCGGTTCTAGAATCTTAATCCTAAATGACATTTCCTAAGAAAGCACCTCCATGGAAATATTTACTAGAGTTCAAATCTGTTAACTCAATTTCTTATCCATGCAATGGACATGAAAATAGGGACAATAGATCTCAACGCTATTTGCCAAAACGTATCAAACTTTTAGCGTAGAAGGGAAAACAAACTAATAGCGTTGATGTCATCACTAGTGCTGGAACTTTGAACGGGCCGCCCGCGACCGCCCGAAAAGCCCGAGGATTTGCCTGAGCCCGAACCCAACCCGCCCGAGCCCAAATTTCACCTTGAACGGGCCGCGGACTTGTATTCGGCGGCCCGAGCCCGGCCGGGCGGCCCAAGCCCGCCCGAATTGCCCAAATTTTTTAAACTTTTTTTTTAATATTAAGTTATTTATATATATATTAGTATTACAATTTATATATATATATATATTAAATTTGAAATGAACACACGAACTATATAAAAAAATTATTTCTTTATTAATTTTTAAATTTGTAATTCATGATTGCCTCATTAAAAACCTTACCAAGAAAAACCCAATTGGGATAAAAACTTGGCAAGGAAAAAAGAGTGCAATCATTTTGTGACGAATTACAAATTGTACAAACTTACATTGTTTATTAAATTACAAATACAATGTAAAAAGTAAATACATATTTACAAATTACAAATTTACAATTTAATTTGAAGCTGAGGGATCGTCTTCAAAATTAAATGTTAATCGATTAAATTCATCGATCCATTCTTGGCTTGCCGGTGAAATTGTATCTTGCAGATGTTGATCGGCCCGATCCCAATCCTTGATGAAAACCAAGGCTTCAACAATGTCCCTTTGCAATACATTCCGGCGTTCCTCAAGTATTCTTCCTGTCGTACTGAAGGCTTGTTCGAATGAAATAGTGGAGACTGGGATCGAAAATATATCCATTGCCAATCGAGTTAGGATTGGCCAAGTTAATGCCCGTGCCCTCCACCATTGAACTAAGTCAAACAATTCTGCCGCACTGCCGATTACTAAGCCTTCACTGAGGTACGTCATAAGCTCATTGAAGCTGCTGCCGCCACTGCCACTTGTTGATGAAGATCCACTTCCACTCACAGCTTCCGTTTGAGTTGTCTTCTTCTTCTTCTTCTTTAACCCGAAAACATTCAAGAATGAATGCGGGTTTTCATCATGTTGTTGCGGTTCCTGTACTCTAGAGTTTGTGCTTCTAAACCTAATCTCATATTTACTATAGATCTCATATATTTTTGCCTTTATTATTGAAAATTGGTACGTACAAGTGATGCCTAAAAATTCACCTAAGTTTTCTAAACCACTTTCTAATCCGTCTAATTTTAATCTAGGATAAAAAATTGTACCTAAACCATATAATAAAGGCAACTTAGACCAATATTTTTTAAATTTTTTTTTCATAGACTGAACAGGAACTCCTAAGATTGGGTCCTCCCTATATTCGTGAAATAAAATACTAATTATTAAAAGTTCTCCTAAAGCTAAAGGTGATGTTGGGTAGTATGTTCCACTAAGTTTTAGAGTAACTTCATGAAACCTACCTAAAAATTGATACAAAACTTCAGCAATTTATCAATCAAATTCATCTATATGTCCTACTCCTAATTTTTCACACATATAGTTTGTTATAGCATTCTTATAAGGGATGCATTGTTGAAGCATAATATAAGTTGAGTTCCATCTTATAGGCATATCTAACGTTAATGCTCTAGGAGGTATATTTAATGCTTGTAAGAACCTAAACCAATCTTCTTGTCTTTGGTTACTACCTTGAATCCATCCAAGACTATCTCTAATTCTTTTAATGTGATTACTCATTTCTTTTAAACCGGATTTAACTATTAAATTGATTACATGACATGCACAACGTTGGTGGAAAATAGTACCGTCACCGAATAGACTTAAATCATTTTCAAAAAATTCAATTGCTTTTGTATTGGCACTAGCATTATCTAATGTTATAGCCATTACTTTATCTCTTAAACTAAATTCATCAATTACATTTAAAATCGTGTTATATATTAAATCTGCGCTATGTGATCCTAGAACACATTTAAAACCTAATATTAGCTTATCTAAATCAAATCTTTTAAAGTAATGTCCGATTATACCTAAATAATCTTTATTGGCAACGGCAAACCAAATAT